CCGGCGCAAGTGGCTCAAGCCTGGTAATCCCAGCACTTTGGGAGCCGGAGACGGCGGATCAGCGAGGTGCAGGAGATTCGAGACATCCTGGCTAACACGGTTTGGAAAACCCCGTCTCTTTACTAAAAAAATTACCAAAAAACTAGGCGGCGGGCGGATGGCGGGCGGCCCGCTGGTTAGTCCCCAGGCTTACCACAGGGAGGCTTTGGACGGCAGGAGAATGGCGTAAACCCGGGACGGAGTTGCCAGTGAAGGCGGAGATGCGGGCAGCTGCGCACTTCCAGCCCTGGGCGACAGAGCAAGATCGCGTTGGTCTCAAAAAAAAAAAAAAAGAAAAAAAAGAATGTAGCTGAGGTTGGCAGGCCCGTGTAATCCCCCCAGGCTACTTCAGGGGAGGGCTGAGTCCAGCCTGGGCAACAAAGCGAGTCTCTGTCTCAAAAAAAAAAAAAAAAAGACACAGCCTTAGGCTGGACTTGGTGGCTCATGCTTGTAATCCTAACACTCTGGGAGTCCAAGGTGGGTGGATCACTTGAGGTCAGGAGTTCAAGACCAGCATGGGCAACATAGTTAGATCCTGTCACTACAAAAAAATACAAAAAAAAAAAAAAAAAAATTAGCTAGGTGTGGTGGCACACACCTGTAGTCCCAGCTACTTTGGAGGCTAAGACAGGAGGATCGCTTGAGACCAGGAGGCAGAGGCGCACCGAGGTGAGCCAAGATCACACCACTGCACTCCAGCCTGGGCTACAGACCGAGACCTGGTCTCAAAAACAAACAAACAAACAAACAAAACAGGCTGAATGAGCAGTTCCAGTTGATCTATGATAGTGTAGACACCACAAATGATCTCTGAAGAGGGAAAAGCAAAACCATCTGCATGGAGAGAGATGGAAACTGAATCACCAGGTCCCAGGTTAGGGAATAACCGAGGCCCTGGTGAGTGTGTAGGCCTCACATCCCCCTACACTTGACCCTCACTTTGCTGCTTCCTCCATCCTTAAATCTTCCTCTTTGTTCTCTTCAGTTCCTTGCCCAGGATGACCTAGAGATCAAAGCCAGTGGCAACGGGAGAGGCACCATCTCGGTAGGTTTTGTATTCAACTGTATTAGTCTGTTCAGGCTGCTACAGCAGAATAGACTGGGTGGCTTATAAACAACAGAAATTGGCCCAGCATGGTGGCTCATGCCTGCAATCCCAGCATTTTGAGAGGCCCAGGCGGGAGAATCGCTTGAGTCCAGGAGTTCAAGATGCGCTGGGGCAACAGAGTGAGACTCTGTCTCTACAAAAAATTGAAAAATTAGCTGGGCATGGTGGCACATGTCTATAGTCACAGCTACTCAAGAGGCTGAGGTGGAAGGATTGCTTGAGCCCAGGAGGTAGAAGTTGCAGTGAGTCGTGATCAAGACTTTGCATTCTCCCCTAAATGATAAAGTAAGATTCTATCTCAAAGGAAGGAAGGAAGAGAAAGAGAAGAAAGAAAAGAAAGGAAAGCAAGAAAGCAAGAAAGAAAGGCCAGGTGCAGTGGCTTGACTGGGCACGGTGGCTCACGCCTGTCATCCCAGCAGTTTGTGAGGCCGAAGGGGGAGGATCACCTAAGGTCAGGAGTTCGAGACTAGCCTGGTCAATGTGGTGAAACCCTGTCTCTATAAAAATTACGAAAGTTAACCAAGCATGGTAGCGGGCACCTGTAGTACCAGCTACTCAGGAGGCTGAGGCAGGAGAATCAGTTGAACACAGGAGGCAGAGTTTGCAGTGAGCCAAGATTGAGCCATTGCACCCCAGTCTGGGTGACTAGAGCAAAACTCTGTCAGAAAGAAAGAAGAAAGCAAAGAAAGAAAGAGAGAGAGAGGAGGAGGAGGAGGAGGAGAAGAAGGAGAAGAAGAAGGAGGAGGAGGAGGAGGAAGGAAGCAAGGAAGAAAAAAAGAAAGAAAGACACACAAGTAAGAAAGGAGAAAGAAAGAGAGAGAGGGAGAAATTTATTGCTCACAGTTCTGGAAGATGGGAAGCCCAATATCAAGGCAAGGTACACTCTCTGTTTCAGGCCGGGCATGGTGGCTCACGCCTGTAATCCCATCACTTTGGGAGGCCAAGGCAGGCAGATCACAAGATCAGGAGATCGAGACCATCCTGGCTAACAGGGTGAAACCCCGTCTCTACTAAAAATACAAAAAATTAGCCGGGCGTGGCGGTGTGCACCTATATTCCCAGCTGCTGGGGAGACTGAGGCAGGAGAATGGTGTGAACCTGGAAGGCAGAGCTTGCACTAAGCCGAGATCGCACCACTGCACTCCAGCCTGGGCGACAGAGCAAGACTCTGTGTCAAAATAAATAAATAAATAAATAAATAAATAAATAATATATTTTACTAATATTGTTATTTATTTATAACCTAAATAAATAAATATAGGCCAGTCGGTGTGATTCATGCCTGCAATCCCAGCACTTTGGGAGGCTGAGTGCTGGGATGACGTCCATGATTTTTTTTTTTTTTTTTTTTTGAGATGGAGTCTCGCTCTGTCACCCAGGCTGGAGTGCAGTGGCGCATCTCGGCTCACTGCAATCTCTGCCTCCCAGGTTCAAGTGATTCTCTTGCCTCAGCTTCCTGAGCAGCTGGGACTACAGGTGCACAGCAGCATGCCCGGCAAATTTTTTGTATTTTTAGTAGAGACGGGGTTTCACCATATTGGCCAGGCTGGTCTCAAACTCCTGACCTGAAGTAATCTGACCGCCTTGGCCTCCCAAAGTGCTGGGATTACAGGCATGAGCCACCATGCCCGGCCTGACATCCATGACCTCTTCCAGCCCCATGACATATGCCTGGGACTGTAATCCAGCAGTTTGGGACATATGACAGCTCTTTTGTTCAGCAAAAGGTCGTCTGGTGTTGTGTTCCAGACAGTGGAGTCATGGCTGAATCTCTGCCTTTGTTATGTGACCCTGAGCAAGTCATACCTTTCTTCAAGCCTCTGTGAATGGGTTAAAATTAAATAAAATTCAAAATTCAGTTTCTCCATCGAACTAGCCACGTTTCAAGTGTTCGGTAGCCACGTGTGGCTAATGGCTGCCACATTGGACAATGCCAAATGGGACCATTTCCGTTACTGCATAAAGTTCTTTTACACAGAGCTGGTCTAGACTCCAGACACCGCTCTGGCCACTGCACCTAGGAATTGATGGGGTCGGGGGAGGGGGGCGATCTTGCAGTAAATTCCCCACATGGCCAGAGACTTGGGAAGTCAAGGATTGGGGTGCAGAGGAAAGGCAGTGCGTGGGGAAGGGCTCTGACAGCCCCCTTTCCTGGCCTGGCAGATCCTGACCATGTACCACAAGTCCCCAGAGTCCTGGGAGGACAACTGCAACCTGTACCACCTGAATGTGACTCTCCACAGTGTCTTAGAAGGTAAGCCTGGTGTGGCTACAGGAGGAGCAAGGGTAGAGTTTTAGGAGAAGAAGTTGGAAAGGTGATGGGGGAAGATGGTGTAGGGACTTGTTAGCCACAGTGAGGACTTTGGCTTTTGTTCTGAGTAAGGTGGGGCATGGAAGGTTCCAAACAGAGGAAGGACGTGACCTAGCACAGGTTTGCCCAGGCTCCCTCTGATCTGACCACTCTAGAAGGTGAGGGTGGGAGCCAGGTGACCAGGAAGGACGTGACTGCATTGGTCCTGCAGGAGATGACGGAGGCCAAGCCAGATTAGGGACTCTGGAGACTATCAGATATTAGTGGGCCAGGCACAGTGGCTCATGCCTGCTATTCCAACACTTTGGGAGGCTGAGGCAGGAGGATCGTTTGAGCTCAGGAATTCAAGCTCAGGAATTCAACACCAGCCCGGGTAGCATAGTGAGACCCCATCTCTACAAAAAATTAGCTGGGCATGGTGATGCGTGCCTGTGGTTCCAGCTACTCAGGAAGTTGAGGTGGGAAGATCACTTGAGCCCAGGAGGTGGAGGCTACAGTGAACCATGATTGCGCCATTGCCCTCTAGCCTGGGCAACAGAGTGAGACCCTCTTTCAAAAGAAAGAGAAAAAAAAACAGAGAAATAGTTGGATTCCACAGTTCCCAGCCTGGGGCACCAAGAAGGAGAGAGGACTATTGGGAGCTCACTGTAGGAGTAAGAGGAACAACCCTCACCAGTCCCATGAATTTTAGGGAATAAACATCGCCAAGGTTTTGGTTTTTGCTTGATTTCTTAATAATAATAACAATAATAATAATAGTTACAAAGCACCGATCAGGCACCATGCTGAGGGCTTTACTTGTATTAACTTATTTAATCCTCACAACCACCCTGTTGGGTTGGGAATATTATGATCCCCCCTTATGGATGAGTAAACTGAAGCACAGAGAAGTTAAGCAACTTGCTCAAAGTCACACAGCAGAGGCAGGATTTCAATCCAAGAAGCTGGCTCCAGAGACTGTGCACTTGGTCACTGTGCTCCCCAGCCTCTAAACTGCTGCCTTCTCTCTGCAGAAAATAAAAAGGGAGACGAGACTTTTCGGCTCAGGATGGAAACAAGGTCAGGGCACCAGGATCTTGAACTGGGCGGGAGGAAGCTCTCACTTTCTGGTATCCAGATTCCTTAGCGGCCTTCCTTGTGTACTGAGTGGACAGTGGGAACCAGCCAAGCTTGCCTCTCCATGTCTGTCCCCCATTCTGTCCCTGCCTCCTGCCATGTCTGCATGTCCTCAGATGACCGACAGGCTCTACCTCAGCTGACATGCTCCGTGACTCAGATGCCCGGAGCTGGCTCCAAGCCCTGAAGCTCTCCCTGTGGTTCTCATTTTCTCCAGACACCCCAGCCCCCACCCCAGTCCTGCCCTGTCCATACCTTCCTTGCCCAAGTTTGCTTCAGATAGAAACATTATTGGGCACCTACTCTGTGCCAGGCCCTGTTCTTGGAGCCAAGGACCCAGCTATGAGCAAGGCAGCCTCTCCCTGCCCTGGCGAAGCCCACAGTCTATCAGGAGAGACAGACAATCATCAAATTATCATACAGAACCAATATGAAATGGCAAAGGTGATTTCATGTGGCAAAGGAGAGGTTTACAGAGCCATGGGAGGCAAATCAGAGAATGATCTGGGCCTGGCGTGGTGGCTCGTGCCTGTAATCCCAGCACTTTGGGAAGCCGAGAGGATCACTTGACCCCAGGAGTTTGAGGCCAGCCAGGGCAACACAGCAAGACCTCATCTCTTAAAAATAAATAAATAAATGAATAAATAAATAAATAATAAAAATTTAAAAATTAGCTAGGGGTGGGGGTGCATGTCTATAGTCTCAGCTACTCATGAGCCTGAGACAGGAGGATCACTTGAGCCCAGGAAGCTGAGGCTACAGTGAGCCATGATTGAACCACTGCGCTCCAGCCTGGGTGACCCTGTCTTAAAAAAAAAAAAAGAATGATCTGGTGTGTGGGGTGTAGGTTGGGGAAGGCTTCCCAGAGGGAAGATACATCCCAGAGGGAGTGATACATCAGCTGAGATGGAAAACACGAGAGGTGTTTCAGGATGAAGAGTCAGGAGCGAAGATTCCAGGCTGAGTGAACAGCATGTGCAAAGGCCCGATGGCAGGAGAGGGAACAAGGCTAACCGTGATCAAATGGAGGCCGAGGTGGGAGGAGGTGACGTGGAAGGATGTCAGGATTGAGGCAAGGCATTTGGTCATTGAAGCAAGGAGGCGAGGTAGTCAGATTTCTGCTTGCTAAAGCTCTGTGTTGTGAGTGGCAAAGGGGACATGCGGAGACCTGGGAGGAGGCTACTGCACTAGTCCAGGCCAGAGACAATAGCAGTGGAGAGGATGGAGAGAGACGGGAGGACAGTGGGGGAAGACTGAGGCTGTGAACTTCCAGGTTCCAGAACAATCGAGAGGCCACAATGACCATCATGGAGGTCTCCCTGCTCACTGGCTTCTACCCCAACCAGGATGACCTCAAACAGGTAACGCAGACCCCACCTACAGGCTTCCTGAGCAACCTTTCCATACTTCCCACATGGATGCAGGGCGGTGTCTACTCAAATCAAGGTTCCTGGGTTAATGCCCCATCTTCACTTCTGGATGACTCCCTGCATGGCCTCAACCAAATCTTTTCCCTGCTTGGGCCTCAGTTTCCTCTACCGTGAGGTTGACTGGACAAAGGCTGGAGCTCTAGGGCTAGGGGCCTTGGAGGCTGTCAGCCACCCTCCAGTCTCCACCCTCTGCCCCAGCTCACGAGTGATGTGGAGAGGTACGCCTTTCAGTACGAAACCAAGACAAGTACCAGCGACAGCACCGTTGTCCTCTACCTGGAAAAGGTGAGAGGAGCTGGGTGCCCTCTGCCAGAGATGTGTGGGCACCCCGGGGGCTGGAGAACCCAAGGTCGGTCCCCTGGGTGGGTTTTGCAGAGAGCCAGGCCCTCTGCGGTCAGCCCCTCCAGTTGCGATTCCTGTGGTCAAGGTCATATGGTCCGTGGTCATGGCCAATGCCAACAGCCAAGGCCTCGTAGTCAGTGCCACGAGGTCAGTGCCCCACGGTCAGTGGCCCTGGCCGGCTCAGACAGGACTCTGTTCTCTCCAGCTCTCCCATGAGAAAAACACAGTGCTGGGCTTTCGGGTTCACAGGATGCTACAGGCGGAGTTCCTGCAGGCCGCCCTGGTCACTATCTACGACTACTACGAGCCTTGTAAGGAGGGGCCCCGTGCATGGGGATGAGGCCTGCAAAGGACAGGGCCAGGTGCCAGGCGATGAGAGACTGGGAATTGCCAAAAGGGGGCTGGGTCTGGGTGGACATAAGGGGCGTGGTCTTATTGGAGTGACCTTTGTGGGCGGGGACAGGAAGGAGACGGGGGCGAAGTTGAAAGGGGACTGGGCGTGGCCTGCTGGGAATGGGTGGGGAAGGGGCAGGCTCTTTTGAGTGGGCGTGGCCTGTCGACAGAGGTGGCTGGCCAGGGCCCTTCAAAGTGAGGTTTGCAGTGGGCAGGGCCAGGAAGAGGGGAAGGTCTGGGAGAACCTGGAAAGCACAGCTCAGTGACAAGGAGAGGCAGGAAGGAGCCTGGACTTTGGAGGATGGGGAAGACAAGGCCAGGGCCCACAGCAGGTGAAGACCAGGCCAGGTAGGCACTGAACCCCCAGGAACACTGGCCCAAGAAAACGCACCCCCCTCAACCCCTGCACCCTCCATTCACAGCCCGGAGGTGCAGCACTTTCTACAACCTGCCTACAGAGCAATCTTCCCTGCGAAAGATCTGCCACAAAGACGTCTGCAGATGTGCAGAGGGTGAGATGTGCCGAGGATGAGCCCCATGCCGCCAGGCTGAGGCTGCCAGGTTGTGGGGGGTGGATCCAGGAGCCCTTCAAGCCTCCTCCTGGCTATAGTCTGGCCTGAGTTTAGACAGAAAGAGAAAGAGACAGAGACAAAGAGAGACAGAAAGAAGGCACAGAGAGACAAAGCTTGTCACACACACACTCGCACTGCCAAGGATCAAATGACATGGAGACAGAGAGAAAGACACAAAGAGACGACGACAGGAGAAATAGACAAGAAAGTGACCAAAAAGAGAGACAGACGCTGGGCATGGTGGCTTACGCCTGTAATCCCAGCACTTTGGGAGAGGATGGCTTGAGGCCAGGAGTTCCAGATCAGCCTATGCAACAGAGTGAGACCTCATCTGAACAAAAAAATTAAAAAAAAAAAAAATTAGTAATCCCAGCACTTTGGGAGGCCGAGACGGGCGGATCATGAGGTCAGGAGATCGAGACCATCTTGGCTAACACAGTGAAACCCAGTCTCTACTAAAAAAAAAAAAAAAAAAAAAATAAAAAAAAACTAGCCGGGCGAGGTGGCGGGCGCCTATACTCCCAGCTACTCGGGAGGCTGAGGCAGGAGAATGGCACAAACCCGGGAGGCGGAGCTTGCAGTGAGCTGAGATCCGGTCACTGCACTCCAGCCCGGGCGACAGCGCGAGACCCCGTCTCAAAAAAAAAAAAAAAAAAAAATTAGCCAGGGGTGGTGGTAAGTACCTGTAGCCCCAGCTACTTGGGCGGCTGAGGCAGGAGAATCACTTGAGCCCAGGAGTTGGAGGCTGTAGTGAGCTATGCTGTGCCACTGCACTCCGGCCAGGGTGACACAACAAGACCTTCTCTCAAAAATAAATTTTAAAAAGCCGGGCTCAGTGGCTTACACCTGTAATCCCAGCATTTTGGGAGCCAAGGTGGGTGGATCACTTCAGGTCAGGAGTTCAAGACCGGCCTGGTCAACATGGTGAAATTCCATCTCTACTGAAAATACAAAACTTAGCTAAGCGTTGTGGTGCATGTCTGTAGTCCCAGCTACTTGGGAGACTGAGGCACGAGAATCGCTTGAACCTGGGAGGTGGAGGTTGCAGTGAGCTGAGATCATACCACTGCATTCCAGCCTGGGCAACAGAGCAAGACTCTGTCTCAAAAAAATAAATAAATAAATAGGTCAAGTATGATGGCTCACACCTGCTGTCCCAACACTTTGGGAGGCCAAAGTGAGAGGATTGCTTCGGCCTAGGAATTTGAGACCAGTCGGGGCAACATAGTGAGACTCTTCATCTCTTAAAAAATAATAATAATGAGAGCGAGAGAAGGAAAAGAAAGGAAGGAGGAAGGAAAAAGGAAAAGAAAGAGAGAGAGAGAGACAGAGAGAGAGCCCCACAGACTAGAAGGGCCAGATCCAGAGACCCAGGCCTGGGGGCTGAAGGGAGGGAGGGTGGGGGGTTAATGGGAGGAAGTCCCCTGTCCCAGTGCAGCCAGAGCAGCCGCCCACCTGATCCTGCAGGACAGTGCCCATCCCTGCAGAAGCCCAGTGGCCAATTGAGGCAGGAGGAGCTCCAGACAACAGCATGTGAGGCAGGCGTGGATTTTGGTGAGTGTGGGGAGCCGCAGGGGACAGGCAGAGCCCACTTGCAGGCCGAATGCCAACACGACACCCTTCTGCCCTCCCCGTTCCCCAGTGTACAAGACAAAGCTGGAATCTGTGGAGGTCTCTGCCTCCAACCCTTACGTCTATTACAACATGCAGCTCGAAGACATCATTAAGAGTGGTATGTCCCAGGTGACAAAGGAAGAATCCCAGTGTGGGGTCACCCTGTGGGCCTACCCTGGGGGTCCCATTGTGTGGGAGGGTCAGACTTATGTGTGCGCACACACTGGGTTTTCTCCAGGCACAGATCCTGCCACACCCCTTGCCATGAAGAAATTCATCTCCCACGCCACCTGCCACGACTCCCTGGGGTTGCAAGAACAGGAATCGTACCTTATCATGGGCCGGACGTCAGACCTGTGGAGAATCAAATCTGAGTGCGTGAGGGGCTCCACCTGTCCTGGGAACTCAAGCCTGGGCCCTCTTCCTTACCCTCAACCCAGCCCTCAGTTCCACAGTTTTTGCTGGAGGTTCCAAGTGATTCTCCTGCCTCAGCCTCCCAAGTAGTAGCTGGGACTACAGGCGTGCGCCACCACGCCTGGCTAGTTTTTGTATTTTTAGTAGAGACGGTGTTTCATCATGTTGGCCAGGCTGGTCTCGAACTCCTGGCCTCAAGTGATCCGCCCACCTCGGCCTCCCAAAATCCTGGGGTTATGGCCATGAGCCACTGCACCCGGCCAGAGAAGCATTTACTAATTCCCAGTGATTCGGACTAAGAGCGTGGAAGACCAGAGAGGGCCTTCGGGCGGGGACACTACAGGCTAAGGCTCTGGCAGGCTGTCAGACAGGGCAGGGCAGGGAGGTTGCCATATCCCCAGGGTCACCAGGCCCTCCTCACCTTCTTGCTTCTTGTAACCCACAGTTACAGCTACGTTCTGGGCAGGGAGACGTTCCTCATGCTTTGGCCAGCAGATGGAGATGCCAGCAAGAAAGAATTGTGGAAGCAACTGGACGAATTTTCGGAATATATGCGCACCCATGGCTGCGAGTCCTGAGCCTCCTCTGCTTTCAGGGAGGTGTCACCAGGCAGCTCTGGGCCACTGGGTTTAACCCCAAATAAAGAGCACAGGATATCACACCCAAACCCTGGACACTTGTCCCTGTTGCACCTTTCACCAGGGGACCTGCACAACCTGCTCTGGCATGACGTGGACCTGTCTCCTCCCTCCTCCCCCGTTACTTGGGTGGCTGAGGTGGGAGGCTCACTCGAGCCCAGGAGTTGGAGCATAGCTCACTACATTTGGCTCCGTTCTGACCACACTGGCCTCCTTTGCATCCTTCCAGCATCCACCTCCGTGGGGAGATGATTCCCAGCTCTGGGCTTTTGCATCCACCATTCCTCTCCCAGGTGCACCCCTCCCCCTAAAGTCGGCTTAGCTTGAATCGTTCCCTTTTCTGGGCTCTGTTTAATTGTCACCTCTGGCATGGTGGCTCATGCCTGTAATCCCAGCACTTTGGGAGGCCGAGGTGGGTGGATGTTAAATGGGTGTTTTCCCTGCCCCACAATGTCAGCTCCTTAAAGTCGGGGTTGTATCTGTCTTATTCGCTGTGGTATTCCCTGTTTTTACAGCAGGAGCTGGAACTCAGTAGGTGCTCAGGAAATGAGTGTTGACTCAGTGAATAGACGGATGGATGAATGAGTCAGTGAATAAATGGATGGCTGAGTTTGGTGCCCACATTCTGAGCTTGGTCCTAATGGTTCACTTGCTGTGTAACTTCAAGCAGCTTATAGTGATGGAAGTTTTGTTTTGGTTTTGGTTTTGTTTTGTTTTGTTTTTTGAGACAGAGTCTCGCTCTATCGCCCAGGCTGGAGTGCAGTGGTGCTATCTCAGCTCATTGCCACCTCTGCCTCCCGGGTTCAAGCAATTTTCCTGTCTCAGTCTCCTGAGCAGCTGGGACTACAGGCGCCCGCCAGCACGCCCGGCTAATTTTTTGTATTTTTAGTAGAGACGAGGTTTCATCGTGTTAGCCAGGATGGTCTCGAAGAGCGTTGCAAGTGAAGTCAAGATCACGCCACTGCACTCCAGCCTGGGACGACAGAGTGACACTCCATTTAAAAAAAAAAAAAAAGCCAGTTGGTGCAGACACCAGACCTGTAATTCTGGGATGTGGGATGGCCAGACAATGTCCTCTTTCTACTTTACATTTTGGATTTTTTTTTTTTTTGAGATGGAGTCTCACTCTGTTGCCCAGGCTGGAGTGCAGTGCAGTGGTGCGATCTCGGCTCAGTGCAAGCTCCACCTCCCAGGTTCACCGCCATTCTCCTGCCTCAGCCTCCCCGAGTAGCTGGGACTACAGGCGCCACCACCACGCCTGAAGTGCTGGGATTACAGGCCGTAAGCCCACCCACACCTGGCCTACATTTTGGAATTTTAAATTGCCGATAGCTTCCCTCCCCTCTAAGCATGATATTCTGCCCTTTTTTTCCTTTTCTGACTGCAAAGCAGAGCGTGTTGGACCCCTCCTCCAAAAAGTTACACATTAAGAAGTGTTTGAGGCCGGGCGCGTGGCTCAAGCCTGTAATCCCGCACTTGGGAAGGCCGAGGCGGGTGGATCACGACGGTCAGGAGATCGAGACTATCCCTGGCTAACCATGGTGAAACCCCACCTCTCCTACTAAAAATACAAAAAATTAGCCCGGGCGTGGTGCGGGGCGCCTACTGTAGTCTCAGCTACTTGGGAGGCTGAGGCGGGGAGAATGGCGTGAACCCGGAGGCGAGCTTGCAGTGGCCGAGAATCACGCCACTGCACTCCAGCCTGGGAGACACAGCGAGACTCCGTCTCAAAAAAAAAAAAAAAAAGAAGTGTTTGATCCAGAAGAGGAAGTCCCTGTGGTACACACAGAAGAAACGTTACATATTTTGTCTGTGGCTACTCAAGTGTTTTCCCATGTTGAAGAATAGGGGATGCAGGATGTGCAGGTTCTGGTTCTGGGGGAGAAGTGCACGATAAACGTTGCCGGCGGAGCTTCCCATTTTTCCTTCCTTCCTTTCTTTTTTTTTTTTTTTGAGACGGAGTCTGCCTGTTGCCCAGGCTGGAGTGTAGTGGCACTATCTCGGCTCCACTGCAAGCTCTGCCTCCAGGCGTTCACACCATTCTCCCGCTCAGCCTCCTGAGTAGCTGGGACCTACAGGCCCACCACGCCTGGGCTAATTTTTTTGTATTTTTAGAAGAGACAGGCTTTCACCATTCACAGGATGGTCTCGATCTCCTGACCCTCGTGATCCTCCAGCCTCGGCCCCCAAAGTGCTGGAATTACAGGTGTGAGTCACCCACGACCGCCTCTTTTCCTTTCTTCCTTCTTCTTCTTCCTTTTCTTTTCCTTCCTTCCTTCGACAGAGTCTTGCTTTATTGTCCAGGCCTGGAGTACAGTAGTGCAATCTAGGCCTTACTGCAA